CAGACACACACAATTATTCCAAGCGCGGCTGCTGAAAGCTTCCTTACTGCACCTGCAGGAAATTTTACTGAAACCCATTCCCACCCAAAGAAGCAAAATCTCAATAACTCAGAGATAGCATGTCATCCTTCAAGCCAAGGGGCCCACGGGGAACCTGCTACCGTAGCATTCTCCACTATCTGCAGGGACATCAGAAACCGACCACACCTCAGGACGCCTCTCACGCTGTTCCAGTAACGAGAAAAGCAAACACACAGCCGAGGGAGGGGGCCTTCGGGTAACTGCACAGAGAGTTTCAAAATTCAAATGTACTTCGGACAGAGAGTAATGTTGTGAGAAATGGGAAAGTTCTCCTTCAAAGATTATAAAAAGTCACAATTTCTTACTCTAAGATTGCTACCCCCATTAGAGTGTGTGTGTGTGTATATATATATTCTATAATATTGCTAGCCACTATTACTGTGTATATATATACTCTGTAAGACTGCTATCCACAATTAGTGTGTGCATATATATTCTATAAGAATATATATTCTATAAGAACATATATATTCTATAAGAATATATATACACACACACTGTAAGATTGCTACCCACTATTAGTGTGTGTGTGTATATATATATACATGCTATAAGATTGCTATCCATATTAGTGTGTGTATATATATACACACAATAAGATTGCTATGCACTATGTGTGTGTATATATATACACACACTATAAGATTGCTATCTACTATTAGTGTATAATATATATACACTATAAGATTGCTATCCACTATTAGTGTGTATATATGCACACTATAAGATTTCTATGTACTATTAGTGTGTATGTATATATACACTGTAAGATTGCTATCCACTATTAGTGTGTGTGTGTATATATATATACACTCTGTAAGATTGCTGTCCACTATTAGAGTGTATATATATATACACACACAAACTGTAAGATCACTATTAATGTGTGTGTATATATATATCACTACAAGATTACTATCCACAATTAGTGTATAATATATGTATGTACACTATAAGATTGCTATCCACTATTAGCATATATATATACACACTATAACATTGCTATCCATTATTAGTATATATATATACACACTATAACGTTGGTATCCATTATTAGTGTGTGTATATATATACACACACTATAAGATTGCTATCTACTATTGGTGTGTATATATATATACACTATAAGATTGCTATCCACTATTAGTGTGTATAT